TTTGGTGGCACTGGAGATTGAACCCAAGGCCTTCACCCTGAGCTTTAGTCCCAGCCCTTTTTTAATTTTATTTTTTATTTTGAGACAGACTTGTACTAAGTCTCTAAATTGCCTTGTGTCAACTTGAATTTATGATCCTTCTGCCTCAGCCTCCCAGAATGCTGAGATTACAAGTATTCACTATGCCTGGCACCACTTTAGTTGCTCTTAAATGCTTTTTGTTGTTACTATTGCTGAGAATTGAGCCTAGGGCTTCTGCATTCTAAGCCTGTGTTCCACCACTAAGCTACACTACCAGCTTGCATGGGTTTGACTATCATATAAATAAAACAATACATTATTTTAATAATGTATTAAAATGTCTTCTAATTCCAAGTGTTTGTGAAATTCACCATGCATGTAGTCCTTTCTTTTTCTCTATTCTATTTCCTTGTGGGAATATGCTATGATTCATTCATTGTGCTGGAGATAGACTTTTGGGTTGTTTAGTTCTTTCTTTTTTTTTTTGTAACAGGAATTGAACTCATAAGCTTGTGCTTGCCAGGCAGGTGCTCTGCACTGAGCTATATCCCCAGCCAGATTGTTTAGTTCTTGACTATTATGAATATTGCTGCAATGGACATTCTTTCACATGTCAGGTAGAGCCCATGTGACTGAGTTCTATCGGTTATATACCGAAGAGTGGAATTGCTGGGTTGTGGGGCATGTCCACCTTCAACTTTATTAGGAAACATCAAACTGTCTGCCAGAGAAATCTACCAATTTATATTCCCAGGTGTGGTGTGCAAGTTTCTCTTGTTCCTCTCAAGCATCTGGTACTGTTAGTTGGTACCCTTTAATTTTTTTTTTTTTTTTTTGGTACCGGGAATTGAACTCAGGTCCTTGTGCTTGCTAGGCAAGCACTTGTGGCACTGAGCTATATCATCAGCCCCCTTTAATTTTAGCCAGTCTAATGTGTGCATGTAGTGGTTTTTCATGTGGTTTCAATTTATATTTTTCTGGTGATTAGTGAGGTTGTGTTCCTGTTCACATATTCACTGTTTACTCACATTTACTTTACTGAAGTATACAAGAGATGCTCATTTTCGTAAGTGTTCCTGATCTCACTGGTTTGCGGGAATTTCAAAGACATTCTGGATATAATTTGCCAGTTTTACTCTGCAAGTCTGCTGCAGTCCCCCTCATTCTTTTTCTTCAGTTCTGGGGATGGAACCCAGGGCCTTGTGCACGTTAGGCAAATACTGTAACACTGAGCTCTACTCCTAGCCCCTGCCCGTTCTGTCTCTCTCTGTCTCTATCTCTCTCTTTCTCCCCTTTTCTGTCTCTGCCAGGTTCTCATCATGTAGTCTGCACTGGCCTTGCACTTAAAGATACTTCTGTCTTGGCCTCCCAAGTGCTCTGATTGTAGGCACCTGACTCTTGCCTTTACTTTTTAAACACCATGTTGGTTTTGGTTGAACAGTAAAAGTAGTGATTTTATTGCAGTAAAATTAGTGATTTTATTGCAGTAAAATTAGTGATTTTATTGTCCTGTTTAAAAATGTTGTATCCTTGCTGGGTGTGATGGTGAACCTCTGTAATCCCAGTACTTGGGAGGCTGAGGGAGGAGGATTACCAGAAGTTCAAGGCTAGCCTGGATTACATATCGAGTTCAAGACCCGTCTGAACTACATAGTGAGACTCTGTCTCAAAAAAAAGGTTGTATCCTTTTACCTACAATAGCCCAAAGTTGGAAACAATTGAAAATTTCCATCAATGAATGAATAAATAAGTTATAATTATGATATTTCCAAGCAATGAGAAATTATTCAGCCATAACAATAAAATACTAAGACTGGATACAATAGTACATGCCTATAATCTTAGCACTTGGGATGCTGAGGCAGGAGGATCATGACTTCAAAGTCAGCCTGGGTTATACAGTAATTTCCAGGTCAGCCAGGACTACACAGTGAGACCTTGTTTCAAAAAGAAAATGAAGTACTGACACATGCGATGACATGGATGAACCTTGAAAACACTGTACTAAGTGAACAGCCAGCCCCAAAGACTACATATTGTGTGCTTCCATGTATATGAAACGTCCAAAACAGCCAAATCCACAGATAGAAAGTAGATTAATTGTCATTAAGGCTGGGGATATTATAGACAGTTAGGTAGAAATATTATAGGCACTCAGATGGGGCTGGGCCCTCGAGAGAGTCAGTGCAAGATGAAAACTCATTACAACTGTGGCCAGAGGCCCATCTGGTGGAGGCCAGGCCTCAAGATAAAGAAGGAATAACCAGACCTAAGATAAGTGGTAACATCTGGTGTAATAGAGTCTAGATAGACATCAGTCACCTCTGTGGGTGACCAAGACCCTTAGACTCATCCCTTTCTGAAAAGATGTTTGTTCTTTCCATGTACACTTGCTATGTGACTTGCTTCCCCATAGGACCAATATTACCTAAGTGACTATACTTATAATCTTACTGGTTGACCATAGCCTTAACCCACCTTTTACGCATATGGTTGTGCTCTACAAAACTTCCCCTGAAAAGTAGGGTTCTTGGCAACCCTCTTGAGGGTTCCCTCCTGCCACTCAGGAGCTGTATCTCTCCCCTTCAATAAATATTTCCTACTCTTAATAAGTATTTCCTACTCCTTTGTTCCTTAAAATTCATTCTTTGATTTTTTTCCCCCTGTACCAGGAATCAAACTCAGGACCTTGCACTTGCCAGGCAGGCGCTTGTGCCACTGAGCTACATCCCCAGCCCCCATTCTTTGATTTTGGGAACATGAACTTGGTGTATTGGACATCTAGCAGGTTGGGAGTTTTATTTCCCTTGTATCATATTGGGAGGTCCTATATCATTCCTGTATCAGGGAGAGGGTAGACAGAAAGTGAGTGCTTGGTGGGGAGATTTCCTTTTGGAGTGAGAGACAGTGGTTGTGCAATATTGTCAATGTGCTAAATGCCACCAAACTGTTCATTTCAAAGTGATCATTGATTGATTGATTGATTGACTGCAGTGCTGGAGGGCTTTAGCATACTAGGTAAGTGCTCCACCACTAAGCAACACTTCTAGCCCTAAGTTATTTTTAAGAATAAAAGACACTGTTCAAATGCCCAGGTGGACGAGATTTCTAGGCCACATTTGTAAAAGACTTAGAGTCTTGTGCATCTGGTGACAATCCACACCAGATAAATTCTGTGTGGCGTGAAGTCCTTTACCTAGTGCTGAGTTCTGCACACAGCTCCAAACGCTCTCCATGTTGGGCCCTTGCTCCTCATAACCAGTCTGTGAAGGATGTTTCATTATATTTTTTAAGATAAGGACTTGGTGGCTCATACAGGTTATAAAATGTGTCCATGGTTTCACTGGAGAAAGGAATTAGCCTGAGGTTTGGGTGACTGGGATGCTGGTGGGCCAGGGCTGCCTTGGTTTCCCCACCTGTGACAGAAGAGGCTGAGCCAGCGCAGTAAGTCCAGGATGCCAGAGCTGCTGATCTCTGGGCAGAATCTCAGGCTTTTGGTTACTCTGAACCTGAGTAGCTGGGGCTGTGCTTAGATGAGTGTCTGGTCACTCAGCAGTTCATCCCAGGGGCCTTCAGGCCCTTCCCTGAGGACAGTCACAGAGTGACTTTTCCAAGGCTAATAATCTTGCGAGTCCAAGTTTCACTGTTTGAATTGTATGTGGGGGTTACACTTAGCCTCCACCGCAGCATCTGGGTGAATCATCTGATAAAGGAACTCTGGACGATGAAAACTTAATTTTGTCACTACTGTACACAGGTGTCTTTTCTCTGGTGGGGCAGGAACGCTGAGGTCAAGAAGGTGTGACCCAGATAGTGTCTGTGAGCCCCACCCTGCACTCTGGCTGACCCAGGAATGATAAAACCAAGTGGCCTCCTGCACTGCCCAAGGGGACCCAGGTTGGGAGGAAGGTTGGGGGTTTCAGTTTCCAAAAGCCCACTGCCCTCCAAAAAGGAGCTTATAAAACAAGTTCTTAAATTTAAAATGAAGGGGGCTTAGAGGTGTGGGGTCTTCGTTGAGAAGTCTGAAGATGTACCTGCATCGAGCAGGGGTTTCCTGCTGCTTCACTCTCCCCGATACAAATGAGAGCTTAGAGCCGAGACTGCACTTCAAGGCCTTTTACTCCAGATACTGTCATTGGTGGGGAAGCTGAGGTCGGTATCTCGGCCTGCTACCCCTCAGTCTCAGGGGTAACAACGATGAGGTCTGGTTTCTGTAACGGCTGCTGAGGGGAGGCATGGGGCCAAGGCGAGGGAGATGATGGGACCTCAGTCCAGCTCGGAGGACTTGAGCCTGGTCAGCCGGTTTGCAAAGGGCGCTCCTGCATCGTGACACATGGGATCTCCCTGTGCTGCCCACTGGTTCCAGTGCTTCTTACTACTAACTACGTAGCCAGAGAAGCAAACCAGGAGCATTTTGGTGAAGGTTGCTGGCAAGAAGTGTGCCCTGGGGAGATAGCGGGCTCCTCCAAGCCTGGGTCTTGGACCATGCAGAGATGGCTTACTGGAGCCCGATCGGCAGAGCTGGGTAGCAGCATATCTGGGAAGTCAGCGGGGTAAGGCACAGTGCCTCGCCACAAATAAGAGTGTTACTTTTATAATACACAAACTAGCTTCTCCAGCCCTGCTGCTTTGAACGCTAGCCCCCACACGAGCCTGTGAGTGGGCGGTTCCCTTCATCCTAAACCTGACGCTGCAGCCCACGCGCTGAGCTACCCTGTGGCTTCTCGCAGCTCTGCGCCTGCGCTTACAGCCCCGAGCGCCTGCGTAGATGGCCCGGCCCGCGCGCCAAATCTCGCGAGCGCGGCCACGACAGCGGCGGCGCGTGGGACTCGAGGCGGTCGCGCTGCGGGCGTAGGGCGTTCCTAGGTCTGCGGGTCCTCCTCGGGTCCCTCCAATCCGCGCTTTTCCCCGGTATTATGGGGGACAACACCAGCCCCATCAGCGTGATTCTGGTGAGCTCGGGCAGCAGGGGCAATAAACTGCTGTTCAGGTACCCCTTCCAGAGAAACCAGGAGCACCCGGCGTCCCAGACAAGTAAGTGGCGCCCGGCGGCCGCCGCGAACTCAGCGAAGGAAGGAAAAAGGAGGCAGGCGAGAAATCACTAGTAACCCACCTCCAAAACAGCTATTGCTAACGTCTTGTTCGTTTTAAAAAAATTAATCCCAGGTACTCGGAAGCCCGAGGCAGGAAGATAAGTTCCAAGACTGACTGTATAGTTCAATATTAGAGCTTTTAACTAGCATGCAGGGAGTTCTGGGTTCAATCTGTAGTACCTTAAAAACAGTGTAAAATTACAGACGCATTGCATGTTAACCTTAATCATCTCCCTGCGGTCCACTCCACCTCTGTCCCAAATTACCCTATAATTCAGAATTGACCCTCTTGGGAAGATAGCAAATGAGTAACCGCATATAAATAAAACATTGGTTGGAGGATTTTTTTGTTGTTGTTCATGGAAGCACCTTCTAAAGCACTTTTCTAAACTGAACCTTCTGTTGGCGCCCCACCCAGCTGAGTGAATACACCCACCTCATTCTTGGTTGCGGCATACTACTGCCCCGAGAACATATCCTTCCTACGGGATGAGGAAACTTTTTTCCTCCTTGCTAAATTGCTCTGGCTGGCCTCGAAATCGTGATCCTTCTGCCTCAGTCCCTGGAGTGCTGAGATCACAGAAGTGAGCCACCTTGTCTGGCTGTCATTTTAAAATTTGCTTATCTGGTACAAGATTTTATTTTTTAAATTAAAAAAAGTTATTTTGGTTTTTATTTTTTGATACAGGGTCTCGATATGTAGACCAGGCTGGCCTCGAACTCACAGCAATCCTCCTGCCTCAGCCTCCTGAGTGCTGGGATTATAGGCATGCACCACCACACCCAGCCTTGTTACAAGGGTCTTTTTGTTTTTGCCTTTTTGAGAAAGGGTCTAGCTATGCAGTTCAGGCTGGCCTTGAGCTCACTTTGTAGCCCAGGCAGGTTTTGAACTGGCAAAGATCCTCCTGC